TTTAGTGAACATTTTTCAGCCCCACAAATGGATGTGACAAGGCGGGGGGAGAAGACTGGGCTCAGGGCATACTGTCGGCCGGCCTGGGTCATTCACTTGGTGACCACAATGCAGCCACGCAAGCTCTCTGGGCCGTGGCCTCCCAGCAGTGCTCACACCGTGTCTGTTCTCTTCCCCCAGACAACTCGAGACCTTTCAAGTCCAAGTGCCGTGCAGCAGTACTGTGGAGGACCAGGAAGGCCCCCTGCTCTGACCCACCTCCTCCAGCCCCTGGAACCCAGCAAGCTGGCCCAAAAGCTTCAGACAGTGCCCAGTGCAGGGGAGGCCCAGGCAAAGCTGAAAGCAATCTGTTACTTCCGCCTCTGCACACCAGGGCTCTCAAAGGCTAGAAATCAACAGTTTGTCCCTGCCTTGCAGCCTAACAAAGAAATTAAAAGTACAGTCTTTAAAACACAACTCCAGGGCTTCCCTGGTACCACAGTGGTTAAGAATCCACCTGCCAATGCAGGGGACACGGGTTCACGCCCTGGTCCGGGAAGATCCCACATGCCACGGAGCAACTAAGCCCGTGAGCCACAACTACTGAGCCTGCGCTCTAGAGCCCGCGAGCCACAACTACTGAACCCCATGCACCTAGAGCCCGTGCTCCCAACAAGAGAAGCCACTGCAAGGAGAAGTCCGCGCTCCACAACGAAGAGTAGCCCCCGCTCGCCACAACTAGAGAAAGCCCGCACGCAGCAAAAAAGACCCAACACAGCCAAAAATTAAAATAATAACAATAAATTTATTAAAACACACACACATACACACACACACACAAGGCCATGTATTTATTCAACTATGCCCTGTCAAATAACTGTTTCTTGTCCGGATTTTCAACTTTCATACCACTGTCAGTTATTTTAAAACAGTTAATAAAAGTTACTAAAATACATTCGATGGACACACTAACTCAGGCATGACTCTGGACCCCTTCCCCCTGCACCACAGTCCAGGCTCCGGGCTCAGGGGTTGGGGACAGGACGAGGGGTGAGGCAGGGTCTGTCTTTTCTTAAACAACCATAATGTGAGCAGCATGCTTTTCTTGCAAAAGTTTAGATAATACTGATACCCTAAAAGAAAGTTTAAAAGTAACTAAAGACAAAAGAAAACTAAAGACAAGCCCCTACCATCGGGTCTCCAGCCAAACACTGAATCAATACTCCCCCGCCTCTGTTTAAGATTACAAGTGGTACCCATGAGCAAACTTTCCCTAACTTAACACAGAAACCCACGACTGATTCCCCAAACCTGCTGTGCACGGTCCCACAATAATTTATAAAACTGCAGGACCTGTAATCAGAGCCCATCTTCCCCTACTGCTCTGTTTAGGAGCAGAAAAGCGGCAAGTCACAGACGGCGCTCACCTCCTGCCTTGCAGAGCAGAGGGTGCAGCAGTCAATCCAGAACGACCACCTCAGGGAACGCTCCCTCCCAGGTAAGGGGGCACACGGGCCGCACAAGCCCAGCCCTCCCTCCTGGGACCACCACCCCCGACCCGCTCTGATTCTCTTCTCTGTGGGCAGCTGCTAAATGAGACAGGCCAGCAGCCTCTGCCCCCTGGAAATGCATACCTATGACCTAAGGCAAAAAAGACGCCATGGTGCTAAGGTCCGAGACAGGCTGAGGACCAAGAGCTCCGGGAGTGGGAGTGGGGAGGAGCCACAGAGGAAAGGATTAGTCTGTGGATGAAAGGTTCAACAGAACAGAAAGGTGCCAGCAGTGAGTCCTCCCCTTACTGCTTCCTGAGGGACCACGGACGTCGCCACCTCTGCTGGAACAGCGGGGACAAGACGGCACTGCATCGGCCCTGAGAGCTGCTTTCTGTCTGATTCCAAACCTCCGCGTCCCGCTCCGTGCACACCTGCTGATTTACTGTGTGTCTGCAGTGACAGAGTAGCCATGGAACAAGGTGCATGAGAAGCAGCACAGTCCAGATGCAGCGGGTGGACAGCCCCATGGACGAGAGTCAAGGACCTGACACGAAGTGGGCACGTGCGTGGACCGCACTGACCCTGGAGAGCTGCCTCCACCCTCCTCCGTCCTCCCCGCTCGGCAGCCACGGGGAAAGGGGCTGTGGTCATACCCGCCAGCGCCGTGCAGGAGCTCCGCTCCCGTGGAGGGAGGTGCTCCACCGTAAAGAATCTAAAACACCCTCCTCTGTCCTGAGTCCTGAACTCCCCCCTCCGGAAAAAGAGTATTCTCTAAGCTGAGGCCTGTCCCACACCCTCAGACCCTGGGACGGGGGGCTTACAGAGGGACCAGGCCCACGGCTGGACCCGTTTGCAAATCTAGCTCTGAGCCAAACACAAAGCCTGCCTGCAAGGGTCAGGGAGTCACCAGGCACAGGCTTGCAGGCTGCAGGGCTGCCGGTTCACCCAGGACAGAAGGCCAAGCACACCTCAGGAAGCAGGCGAATCCTGCCTGCAACATCTTTCCCTCATGTGCAGGAGGCCACCTGCTCCGAAGTTGTTCTGAGCCAGTGAGGCTCGGCTCTGTATCGAAATCGAGCTGAGATCCAGAACACAACATCTATCTACACACACACACGCGCGCGCGCGCGCGCGCCAATTATGTCTCAATCACACTGGGGGGGAAATAAAACATAAAAATTTTTAAAATTAGAAAGGGACAGGGAATGATTTTTTTCCTTCCTTTTACCTCAATCAGGTGGCCTTTTGATCTTACAACATTTTACAGTAACCCACATTTAATATCAACAGAATTCAATCCTAACGACAGCCCCGTGGTGGCAGAATCAGGGAGGGTCGGTGAGGAGTTTGTTGGCATATATGTGAGTGCCTGTGTGTGAGCACACATGTGAGCACATATACATGAGTGCACAGCAAGAGGCAGCTTTTCACGGCAGAGTCTGTAAGAGAGAAGAGAGCTTCCAGGCCCTAAAAAGGAAACTCAGGACTTGTCTGCTCATCAGTCTTCACAAAACGAGCACAGTCCCGTGTTCACGTCCTCCAGCACCAGGGAAGCGTGTGACGTGGGAATTAGCGTGGCCGGAGCCCTCCCCATGGTGAGGACCCGCCTTCCCAGGAAGTCGGGCTGGTTTCCAGCAAGAGATAAACCAAGTAAGGGAAGGCGACAGCACCCAAAGCCACCCCCAATTCTGCCTGCAGAAATGCAGTTAACTCCCAGCTATTAAGCAACAAACAAAACAGATGTTTTATGCTATCTCTTCATTATTTTTTAATCGGACCACTGAGCTGAGAAAACACCAACTAAATGCTTTATAGGCAGCCCTGAAGCTAACACCTTATAAACAAAACCTTTCTATCATTCTTCTGCTGTAGCTTTTATGAAAACAGGTTCCGAGAGAAGCTTCTAAGAAATTCCAATTCTCCATGGCCGAGACTCAGAATGCCTGAGTAGACGGCACCATTACAGACACAAGGACCAAGAACTTTCCCAGTGACCACGGCAGCTACGGCAACGCAGGTGGCACTCGCACTGCAAGGTCTCGGCCTTCGGAGCCCAGCAGAGCCCTCCCCGCCGGCCCGGAGACGGAGAAGTCCCCACCCACAGCGGGGAAGCTCGGAAGGGCCCGTGTGTCCTCGGCTGGTTGAGGGCCGCCCTCCGTGGTGAGAAAGGAGGCGGAGCGACCAGTCCCGACAAGAAAACAAAACCAAAGGACCAAGGGTCTTCACTCCTCAGCAATTACATTCACTTTAGGTACAGCCTACCAACCACAGCCTGGAAAGAAGACCACCCCCTGCGGCGGCGGCGCTGTCCGTCCGTGTCACAGGAAGCCCTCCTCCAGGCCATCACGCATGGGGACACCGGTCCACTTAATAGGCAGCTGTCGTATCCCCCAAGCTACCGCCTGGGCCCCAAACCTGCATCGACAAACCATGGAAGGTAAATTTTAATACTTAACTAATCCTTGGGAGACTGGGATTGACATAGAGACACTCATATGTATAAAATAGATAAGTAATAAAAAAAATTATAAAAAATACTTAACCCATCTTATTTAAGGAGAGAAGTCACTCTAAGCTCTCAATCGACTTTAAAAACTTAAGGAACATAGTCGTATTTGTCAGCAAAAGAAGCAAAGAGGCTGCCGGGGTCTCTCCTATTTCTCGGATTATAATTGTTGAAGTAAAGCCCTTACTGATTGGAAAACATAATGTGGGACTTTATTTTTTTTTAATAAATTTATTTATTTAGTTTTGGCTGCGTTGGGTCTTTGTTGCAGTGCGCAGGCTTCTCATTGTGGTGGCTTCTCTTGTGGAGCACGAGCTCTAGGAGAGCAGGCTTCAGTAGTTGTGGCACGTGGGCTCCGTAGTTGTGGCTCATGGGCTCTAGAGCACAGGCTCAGTAGTTGTGGCGCACGGGCTTAGCTGCTCCGCGGCATGTGGGATCTTTCCGGACCAGGGCTCGAACCCATGTCCCGTGCATTGGCAGGCGGATTCTTAACCACTACACCACCAGGGAAGCCCTAGAAAGTCACATTTTTTAAAACTTTATTCAACTATAGTTGATTCACAACGTTGTGTTAAATGTCTGCTGTACAGCAAAGCAGGGCGTCGCACTGTTAACAGTGTGACGAGCAGGACGGTCCATGGAGCCTGTCCGCCTCGTCACAGCCGCACAGCCGGTTCCCCAGACGCAGCGTGCAAGGCAGCCACTCCACCCTCCACCCCAGGAAGGCCTGGCCAGGAGGTCACAGCCACACACAGCCACTCTGGACGCTCGCAGCCCGGCCTCTCTTCTGGGCTGTGACAGCACAGCACAGCTCCCGGGCAGGGTGAGGCTTTCTGAGACCATGGTCTAGTCTAGATGGCCCCCCCAGAAGGAGGGCTGCAATTCGGGGAGGGGGGCTCAGAGCTGCTGACACTTTTATCCCAAAAGGTACCTGCCAGGGAACAGTATATCTGAAAGAACTTCAGGACACAAATAATAGTGATAAAACTGCAAGTCATGACCTGAAACAGTTTACCTCTTACCTCTGGTGGGTGGAGAAAGCAGATCGTTTCCCAAGTGACAAAACGTTCATTTAAGAAAATAATAATCTTGACAGCATGGATGACATCAAGCAAAACAAACGCTTCAGACGTTCTCACATGATGCAATGAACGCTTCGTAAAATGGAAGCCTGGAGACGCTTCCACCCCGACGGGACTGCAGGCGTTCCTCACCCAGGCGGCCGCGGGGCCAGCCAGCACCCCGACTGGACATGATGAGCAGGCACTTCTCCTCTGTGGTCATATGCCTCCCAAACCACAACCCCGTCTAAGGAGAAAACATCAGAGAAACCCACATGGAGGACATTCTCTAAGAAACACCTCACTGGTGGTCCTCGAAACTGCCCAGGTCACAGAAGAACAGAAGAGACTGAGGTGATAGGACCGCTGAACGCGATGGGGTGTGCTGGGCAGGGCCCTGGGACAGAGCGGGTGTTGGGCAAGGAGTGAGGCTGAACAGTCGGAGTGCGAGTTAATACAATGCACCAGGGCCAGTTCCGGGAGGACAGACTGGCAGTGCCGACCCGACGATGCAAACAGGCCCGTCGACAGCCCCGTGTGCAGGGCTGCCAAGGAGCCCAGAGCCTGCGTCTCTGAACCATCAAACTCCTGGAGCAGAAAACTGCCCAGGGCTGCTTTCTTCTGAATATCATGTCAGAGAAGAGGAACACCGGAAACAGATTCTAAGCAATTCCATTGCAGAAGAAAGGAAACCTCTTTGAGTGAGCCTATGTCGAATCCCCACCGGTGACCCTCCCGGTCACCCTCACCCAGTTGACCTGGGCACCTTCCTGTCCACGGAGTCCTTCCCTTGTCCCCAGCTCACAAAGTTTAAAGCCAAGGAATCCACAAAATGCTCCCACATCAACTGTGAAGACCCGAGGGGCAGTGATGCCCAAGCCCCAGTCAGGCAGAGGCACCCGATTCCAGACGCCCACCCCGCTGCACAGCCCTGTCCAGCCCTCCGGTGCCCACTCTGCTCGAGCCGGCATCACGGAGAGGACGAGTGAAAGTGTACCTTAATCTACACGGCTCTGTAAAAAAAACGAACATCTGTTCTTGGTGACACATAAATGTGCCAACTAAATTAGAAAAGTGATGTCCCCTAAGGTCTAAAGCAGCCCCAGCAGAGCCGTGGGGACTGGAGGCCGAGTGCACTCTGCTCTGCAGCCACCTGCTCCACCTGGCACGGCGGCCCAGGGGAGAGCCCGATAAACCTGCAGGCTCCAGGCTTCGGGGCAGAGCTCTCAGGCCTCTGGTCCTACCTGCCTGCGAGTGCTCGCATTCACTAGTTTTGCTGTTTTCTGGCTCACCTCGTCTCACCCTTCACACTCCCCCAAACTGAAGGAAGTCAGCTTTACAGGAGCTTTACAGGAGGCAGGGAGGTGCTTGATAAAGAGTACAAACCCATTTCAAGTTGAAGCAAACAGCAACCAGTACATGGGGGTTCCAAACTGCTTAAGCCTCACCACAAATATCTAGAAATTAAACCACACTTGTTGGATTCTTCTGTGGAGGCTTCAGTCTAAAGCACATCATTGTTATTGGTCCTTCAGACCATTTAAAAACCCAAAAATTGCTAGTAAAAAAAGTAACACGAAGTCCATGTGAGCTATGCTTACTATGAGGTTTAAATACATAATAATGTACAGATTAGAACATAAGGCACCTTATTTCCCAAAACAGGAACGTGACCTAGACAACCACACGTCATCCATTCAAAGGACCTACTGCTTCCAGTGGAGAAGTCACTTCTATAGATGTTCTCTCCATTTTGTCTTACACAGAGCAAGCCTGCCTGCTGAAGACTACTGCGCTGCACTCGGGGGCTTCTGCTGCTCTGCTCCACGTAGCTTCCTTCTTCCTGCCCGCCCTTCTCCCGTGCGCACACGCCCGCACCCACGGGGGACTCCCGGCCTCAGCTGCCTGCTGGGTATCCCAGTCACTCTCCTCCCCGCACCTCGAGTCCCTCGTGCCCAAACACAGCTCCTCCCATCAGCCCCTTCTCTCTGCGTCCCCCGTCTCTGCAGCGACGCTGCCATCCCTCCAGTTACCGAGTTGAGGATCTGGTTCCCCACTTCCCAAGCCCCAGAGCAGCCACGGGGACGGATCCGCGCCTGCTCGCTGGGCTTCCTCCCCACCCCCCTTCCAAGACACCCCTTGGTCTGGTGGCCCAACCTCACCTGCACCCCAACCTTGAGACACACTGGACTCGCAGCTCCAGACTCACTCTGATTCTTTCACCCGAAAGCCCTGTTTTAAACATGACAGCCATTTGTTCTAATTATACTTATTACTCAAAGCCCACCCAAAGCTACCTCCTCAGTGGAGCTTTGGGCAAGCTCGAGCCACAGGAGAAACAGTCTCCCCCTTCCCACACGTGCCTCTAGGGGGTCTCTCTGTGCATCTGACATCTTTCTGCGAGACTCAAATGCCTTGAGATTCACTCGTGCTCACAGGTGACGACACAGCCTCATGGAAGAGCACCCGCTGGAGTCGCTAGAGTCCCACGCACACACGAGACTCCACCTTCCTTCTGCAGGCAAAGCGAGAACGCCCACCACAGGGGGCCTTTCCGGATTAAAAGGGGGAGCAGCTGGCCCAGTGCTGATGGGCAGTAAGCAGTCCAGCTAGGCCATTACTCTTCATGCTGGAAATCCAGCTGAGTGTTAACATGGCATCTTGCACATACAGACGCTAAATATTTGCTAAATAAAAGGAAATACGTCAGTGAGAAGTACCATTCTGATTTGCATAAGTTTGAAGTTTATGCCAGAAAAGAATCACCAAGAAAGTTATGGCACAGACTGATTTAATTCTGAGGGCCAAAAATAAGGGAAGCTCCAACCACAATGTGTCAAAAGTGGCAGTGGGTCCTGACACACAGCTGTGGTCACACAGATTCAGCAAAGCCACAGCCCACAGAGCAGGAGCCAGTCCAGAGCACAAAGCGCCGGGCAGGGCCCGCGTGCGGTGAGGCGCTCCCGGCCCGGCTGTCCCCAGCGCAGGCGCGCTCTCAGACTACAGTCCAACCGGCTTCCGCGTCCCTGGACACAAAGGGCCTCGACTCCACCAAGCTTGCTGTACTCCTCTCAATAATCAGGAGACGCCTCCCGATACAAAAATCTCTCTGACAGACAGGAGTATTTTCCCCTCCTCATCTCAATAAAACCTGAAAAAGATCACTTTCACATACAGAAGTCATGTTTTATGATAAAGAACTTCATTAAAGATGCTTACCGGGTTGTACATCAGAGTTTCATAGTAAACGGCCTGCAGAGTTACATCCAGGAGGTTACTGAGTTATTGGGGAAAGGCCCAGCGTCCTCACTTCCAATTAAAGCAGATCGGCCCCAGCATTATTAGAACGTCAGTCTCAAGGTCCCTTCATAGTCAATTCAGAGACAGCAATTTTTTAGAAGACTAATAAAAGTTGAGTATACAGAACTCCATAACTTTAAAAAGTTCTCCAAACCAGCAAATGTGTACCGATCGATATATTTCGAGTCATTGCAATCCAGATCATCTTAAAAGGTCTGCAAAATTTGGAAAAACAAAGACAGATTTTTAGATCAAGTGACCAGGCTGAACTACAGAAGACAAAACCAAAGTGACCCAAGAGGAAACTACATGGCTCAAATGATCCAAGAGAATCAGGGTCTAAAACTACGAGATGCACCATCAGTTTGGAGGCAGCGTCTCAGCAGGAAGAATTACGCAAGGAAACTGGATGAGGCCCAGGGAAGGGCTGTGTGCTGCCAGAGGAGTGGGCTGGACCTCGCCCAGCAACCTGTCCTGGGAGCAGAGTCCACACCCCCAAGAGCAGCTGGCACACAGGAAGCCTGGCCGCACAGCACTGCCTTCTGCCGCTGGTCTGCTCCGGAAGAGGAAATCAGAGGAAGGGGAAGCAGCTTAGAGCACCGACACACAGCTGAGGATGTGTGCTGAGTCTGTGAGCATGCGCCAGAAGACATGCACAGACCTACTTTAAACGGGGGGGCGGGGGGGCGGCAATGTTCACATTTCTGTGAGAACAACAGGAGGGGTGCTTACTACCAAGGGTCCACCAAATCAGGAGCCCTCTGAAAATGCACACGAACTCGTGAGCTTACGCACTAGTGAGAGGTCATGGACACCATCGGATTCTCCTAAGGCTGTGGAATTTTGAGAGACCGATAAGCATGTAGACTGACTTGATTTGTTCAACTACGATTTCTCATACATGCTGAAGAGCTTAGTACAGCTGTTTACAAAATGTGGTCCAAGGACCCTTAGGAATTCCTGCAGCCCTTTTCAAACTTTTTTCATAGCAACACTGCCTTTTTAGCTGGGGTGGTATTTGCACTCATGATGCAAAGGTGATGGCCCAATTTGCTTAAGAACCTTCACGATGAACCACTAATTAATGAATTACTAATTTCATTAAATACCAAGCCTTTCCGTACTTGTCTTTTTCATATTCTATGTAACAAAATGTGAAATGTACATGAAGCATTTCTGCTGTGTACCAAATAACAGCTGTCTCCAGCAAAAGCATTTTTATATGGAAGAATGACTGATATACAAACTCTACAAACGAGGGTATTTGGCAGAGTGTTTCTAGAAAATGAACAAAATGAGACTGCCACTTCAAGGAAAACACCTGACCTAATTTATTTATCTTTGGCCACGACGTGCAGCATGCGGAACCTTAGTTCCCCAACGAGGGATCAAACCCAGGCCCTCAGCACCGGAAGCTCAGAGTCCTAACCACTGGACCGCCAGGGAAGTCCCAGCACCTGACCTGTTTTATTGCCAAGGCTAAAATTCAAGCATTTGGTCAAATATTAGAATTTTGGAAAACGCCATGAGCAGATAGCTTTTGATGGCTTAAAGGCTCTTCTGATGAGACTGGTGGTAACAGAAACAAAAGTAACAAAATAAAATACATCAGCATCTGGAAGACGGAAATAACTGAGCAAACCACAGTTGACCAACTGCCAATGCACAATGCTGCAAAATCCAACACAGGTAAAAGGTCCAGTTACAGTGCAAGAAAGACCAGTGGGTCGAATACAGCTGAGAAGAAACACGTGTGACCCAATGGAGGACGCACACTGCCAGTGACCATCACCACATGACTATTTGTTGGGTTTCAGTGTCATATCAAATAAAACCTCCAAAATTATATCAAAAAGCTACTGAAGGGACTTCCCTGGCCATCCAGTGGTTAGGACTTGGCGCTTTCACTGCCGGTGCCTAGGTTCAACCCCTGGTCAGGGAACTAAGGTCCCGCAAGCTGCGTGGTGGGGCCCCCAAAAAATAAAGCTATTCAAATATTCTTCCCTATTCCAACTACATTTTTTGGGGGGGGGTATACTTTAACCAAAGCAACATATGACAGTTTTTCATTTTGCAAAGTACAGTGATTTAGAGTAACATGCAGTGGGTTTATTCCTCCTACTTTTAAATGAAATTAGTAAATAAGCATTTTATTGACAGATGCCCCTATACAGACAGAAGTTTTCTGGGCCCCTCCGTGTTTACAACATGAGGAGTTCCTGAGATGACAGGGCCCAGGAACATGGGCGTGCAGGAGAGACAGCTACTCCAGGCCCCCGCTCTATCACAGACCCCGCCAAGACCTCACCCACGACAAGACCCTTTATTCCGTGTGCCCCACTCCCTGGATCCCACCATGATCACCGTCAACTAGATGAGAAGAGAGAAAAGATGAACATATACAAATCTGAGCGTTTCTCTCAAAGAAGCACTGGCTTTCTGTCTGTCTCCCTGGTGGCAGCCGACGCCCAGGGCCGCGTGGTCCCACAGCAGGAGCACAGAGGAGACTGGAGCAGGGGGGAGGGCCCGGCCCGCCTGGTGGGCCTGTCTGTCCATTCAGCTCCACTGGAGACTCGTGGAGGCCAGCAGAGAGTGCCCGCCGGCTGCAGGACGCGGACACCGACACGCGGGGCCCATGCGCCCCGGGCTGGGGCATGACTGGGACTTGGTCCTTTTTGCTCGGCAAGAATAAGATGCACTATTCCAGATTTTACAGCAATCTTTTGTAGACCCTGACCCAGTACTATCCTCTGAATGTCAAGATGAAAAGGATCCAAAATCATGTCATTTACAGATGGGGAAATGAAGGCCTAGCGGTGAGGCTGCAGCACAGGGGTGAACAGACCGGGTCCAGGTCCAAGCAGCCCCCAAGCTGGCTACCAGAACCTCCGGGCGGGGCTCTGCTTCAGAACGTGGCTCAGGGCCCTGAGCGTCAATCCTACTGCTGAGTCCAGGGGCAGAGCTCACTCTCAAAAATGCAGTGTGTGGGTTGCATTTGGAGAATTTGGCGGCATTCTGAAATAGCTACAGACCCCATGACACTCTACGTGTTCTAAGCCCAGGTTAAGAATTACTGGTCTTGTCTCTGAAAGGAAAATTAAGTGGTGTGGGCAAAGGCACATTGGCTGGACGGGCACACAGACTTCCCAAGGAGCCCAGCGAGGGCCTTGTACCGCCTCTGGACTGGGGTGCACACCCTCGGACCCCAGGAGACCACAGCCCGAGGCCATCCTTCTCCCTGCCGCCCATCACCAACTCCGCAGAGTGTCACCGCTGTGGGGATGGTTTCCACGCGAAGTGTTTCAGGTGCTCCCTGAACAGAAGGCTGCATCGTTCTGGAGCAACGTCCTGCACAGTCCAGGGCTCTCGGAACTGGGGGACAACACGGCACAAGCATCCGGGCGGCAACACCCCCTCTTCCAGGCAATTCACAGAGAGGTCAGAGGTCAGCAGCTGGCTTTGTTTACTGTCTACTTCCCATCAGAGAAGACCAGAGAGACAATTAAAAGTGATCCAAGATGCCCTTCAGTAGGTGAATGGATAAATAAACTGTGGGACATCCAGACGATGGACTATTATTCAGCGCTAAAAAAAAAAAGAGAAATGAGCTATCAAGCCATGAAAAGACACCGGAGGCACCTTAAATGCACATTCCTATGTGAAAGGAGCCCATCTGAAAAGGCGGTACGAGCCCAACCACATGATATTCTGGAAAAGGCAAAACTGTGGAGACAGTGAAGAGATGGAAGGGTGAACAGGTGGAGGGAGAGGGTTTCAGGGCAGTGAGACGAGTCTGTGTGAGGCTGTGATGGCAGAGACGCATCATCACACACTCGTCCAAACCCACAGGACCGACAGCACCGAGAGGGAAGCAGAATGCAGACCGTGGACTCTGGGTGACACCGTGTCTGTGCGGGTTCACTGCTTTCAATAGATCAACCACTCCGCCGGGTTGGGTGGGTGGGGGTGGAGTGTATATGGGAAATCTCTGTACCCTGCTGCTTGATTCTGCTGTGAGCCTAAACCTGATCTAAAAAATAAAGTCTGCTTAATAAAAAAGGTGACTGAACTGCCACAAGCTCACCATGCTGGGCCGGGAGGTTCCCAGGGACAGAGCGCCTGGTTTATGTAACAAAGGCAGCCACATCAGGCTGGGCCGCCAACCCCCAGCCCAGTCTCCCACCTCCTGAGGCCCCTTCCACCTCACCTGCTCCCCACCCAGTCCCCAGGCTCCACTCAGCAGGACCCCCAGCTGTGTGAGGGCGGACAGTGTGCAAGGGGACAAGGCCCCTTTTCCAGAAAACGTGAAAATCATAACTTCATCAGGCACATTATATACACTGCTCTCTAGACTATGTAGTCACTAAAAGTCACAGTTTGAAGTTTCACGTCATCGGAAGTTAATGCTAAGTTTTAAAGTGCAGAACACGAAAGTTTATATACAATCTGATCCCTGTTTTGTGAAATGTAACATATTCACAATTTTTAATTTGTATGTTTATCTTTGAGGGATAGGATTACACATGATTTTTATTTTATTCTTTATATTTAACTTTAATTACTGGTAAGTGTTATTATCTAAATTGTGTCCCCCCCAAAAAAGGTTATTTTGGGATCGTAACCCCCAAGTACCTCAGAATGCGGCCTTATCTGGAAACAGGGTCTTTGCGGATGTTGTCGGGATCATCAGGGTGGGTCCTCACCCAGTACGACTGGTGCCCTTATAAAAAGGGGAAATTTGGACACAGACACAGACACGCACACGTGAAGATGGAAGCAGAGAAGGGGGTGACGCTTCCGCGAGCCACAGAACATCAGAGGCGCCAGCAAATGCAGCAGCTGGGAGAGGCCTGGGGCAGATTCTCCCTCAGCCCCGGCAGGGACCAGCCCGGCCGGCACCTCGGTCTCGGACTTCTGGCCTCCGGGGCTGTGGAGGAGTCTGTCTCTGTGGTCTGAGGCCCCCGCTCTGTGGGTCTGTTACGGCCGCCCCAGCAAACTGATACACTGAGTTTTGGTTAATGTGCACGAACTACTTGAATCATGGGAGCCCTGACTTTTCTCTAAGACACCGAATAGCGTAACTCTTAGAATAAGAAAAGATTTCTACACTTCACTGCACTAAGAAACTACCCTTTCAACAAAAGAAAGCAACGTCGTGTACAATTCTGTTCGGCAACCTACACTCTACTTTAATCCACTCTTTGTAGAAAAGGTGGGGTTCTCTTGTTGACAGTAGTTTCCCTGCAACCTCAGAGTGCAACACAGCCCGAGAGCGAGGCTGCTGTCAACTGACAGGCAGGTGTGTGCAGGGGAGTGTGTCAGCTGTTTGGTGAAAAGACAGAGCTCTTACTGGGAGCAGTTCTGCTCCCGCAAACCCCAAGTCCTCCTTCTGCCCCAGACTCCACCCACCCCCAACCTCCCAACAGTAGCCAAAAACTTATTTGTTGTTGTAAACGCATAACAACTGGGAACAGCCTGAGCAAACTCCAAAGGCCCCAGGCCCCAGCACGTGAGAAAGGAGCCTCGAGAGCTGAGATGAGGCCAAGGGCGGCCCAGACGGCGCCCCTGGAGAGGGATGGGAGCGGCGTCAGGGAAGGGGGAGGCCCACTGAGGGTCCTGCTCGCTCCCCACTAAACCCCCAGCAACTCTCAGCTGAGCCTCTGTGACTGGGCACCGGCCGAGAAGACCCCCGACGGCTGTGAACGGGCACCTGAAGGGGGGGACCTGCCCCTCAGGCCACGCGGATCCCTGCGTGGCACATGCTCAAGGGCCATCATCCTCCCAGGTCAAGCACCTCGAGGCAACCCCACGCTGAGAGGCGGAGCCCTCACCCCTTCCGCATCAGACCGCAGACAGGAAAAATGTCTGCCGGGTCAGCTCAGCCCACCACCTGGCCGGTCTCGGAGCCTGTCCGTCCTGCCATATCTAACGGCGCATGGCCTCTGGGACCGAGCATGCGCTCCGCCAGGCTGACCCCGTGCCCGCGGGTGTGGTCCCTCCCCGCAGCCTCCCATGCAAACGTTAATAGTCACAAAACACTACGCTGTCCTCCTAGTGTCCTGCAGAAACCGCAGCCTCAGCTCGAAGGGTCTGGGTGACAGGGAAGCGAATGGCAGCAGCCCTGAGCCGCTGAGCCTCAGTCCGGGGTGGTCACCAAACCCTTCCCTGGGGAGCGCTTCCAGAGAACAAAAGCCAAGCCAGCGCCCCTCTCCCAACCTCGCGGGGCTGTCCTAGGACCCAAGACTCTGTGCAGCCCTGTGGAGATGCACTCCTCAAAGCGCAGCCCACCAACAGCCGCCCTGTGCTCGCACCGCCAACGCCTGCCCACGGGCCCACTGGGAGGGAGAACCGAAGTCGTGAGCCACCGAGTGGAAACCACACACCATAAACACAGTTTGTTGTTTTAAATAAAACCGAAATCGAACTTCCAAAAAGAAACATCTCACAGTCTCTCCTCTCCACACACCAGCCCAGGGTCACGGTTAAGACCACAGCCCGAGGCCACTGTCACAGGCTCTCGGGCACGACCACCCACCGGTAGGCCTGGTGAGGCTGCTGGGAAAAACGCTCTCATTTAATACTTCTCTATGGCTATTTCTAAATGAGTTTCAGAGAAGTTCTTCCCGCCAGAATCTGTGCTCTCAAATAACTTTCACTAGCTTATGACAGGTGCCCTACTTAAGTAATAAGGGGAAGAGAAAATATTTTGTAGCACACACTTGCAAAACAGCCCTTGGCAGGAGCCTGTCCTCACGCAGTGACTTTCCAAGCAGCTTCCCGAGTACAGACTTGATTACGTCCAAGGCCAGGCTGCCCTGAGTTCCTTATCAGGAAATGCACTACTGGAATTCCAGAGAGTCCTCAGGACCCACACAGAGCCCACACCCAGGGCTCAAATTCCTCACATGATCTCCCAGGACTGTTCGACGCACAGGATGCACCACAGTGAACCTCAACGGATCTCCAGCAAAACTTCAGCCAGACAATCACCAAGGTCCTGACCCCAGTCATGCACTTTGCTTCCCGTTTCCTGACTCTAAAGCACAGGAGGGGTGAACGCTGTGAGCAGGACACCCTTCAAGACCAGGTGCTCTGGACTGCAGTTCCCGCGTGATGGGCTCCAGGCACACACGTTCGTGCCCACTCTGAGCACCAAGCAGAAATGTCCCCAGGCTACACACACGTCACACTGGTACTCCCTGCGGGGAGGGGCCCCAGTCCAGAAGGCCCAGGCCATAGGCACTTGCAGGTGGCCCTGGAGAAGTGAAGGTTCGCAGTGCCCAGAAGAAGCCGAGGGGCTAAGGTGCCACATGAGCCATGGTAAGAGGACAGCTGCAGAGACGGAGACAGATGCGCCCCGGCGCGGGGGGCCTGGCGGACAGAACAGACAAGGAGAGCAGGCGCGGAGTCCCCAGGCGGAGAGTCTGCCTGGATGGAGAAGAAGGACAGAGCCTTCCTTGAAGACAGGCCTCCACGTCTCTCGGAGCTCCCTGGGAGACCAGCAAGCCTGCCCGCCAGCCACAGCCCCACTCCTGCCCCAACCCCAAGGGCGGCAGTGTCCACCTCGCCAGCGTCTGGGCCACCGGGCAGCACGAGAGCACCAAGCCCATATCCTTTGTGCATACTACACAACTCCATCTTCCGCCGAGCTGACAACTTATCAGGTCACAAACGAGGGCACCAACAGCGGCGTGGGAGTTGTGGCTGTCCTTTCCCGGCCACCCCAGCAGGGCTCCCTGGCACTGCCCCACTGCCAAGGCGCCGGGCCTCACACACTGGTGGCCAAGCAGCCCCGAGTGGTCACCAGCTGGCAAGCCTCTACTGGCCACCTTCTCCGGGGGATGCAGGCCCCACGACTCCGCTGAGGCCACTGCCCTCGGGACACAGAGCGCAGTTCACTTAAGTCTCAGGAAAAAGTGTGAAAGGGTCGAGAGTGAACAGAACAGCAACTTCTTCCTTGGACAAGAAAAGGACAAGGATGTCAGGTGCGAGGAATCTAGAAAACAGGCTCTGCTGTCGACCTAGAGCAGGGGACCCAGTCCTGTCTGTACTGTGCCCAGGCCTCGCCCTGCACCCGGCACAGTTCAAGCACATGACCTCTGCCCCGGAGCCGAGCACTGGGTGATGGCCGGAGGCGACCCCCCACCCCACCCCACACACGCCAGTGCCACACATACACCCCGCCGCACACAGTCCACCATAAACCCACACTCACTCACCCACCCACCACCCCCCCCATACCCCCTGCAGCACAATCATGGTACGAGTGTAAAGTGGGGCCCAGGGAGTGCCATCGCCCGGAGGTGATACACCAGCACGCCACTTCATTCACTTCCTGCCCCTTTCCTCAAGTCAGACGCCAGCACAGGGATCTCCTGCCTTAGTGTAAGAAGGACCCCAGGACGTACTCAGTCTGCCGCTGATCAGCTATGGAACCTGGAAAACCCTACTATTCAACACCTTCGAGGCCTAGAATCTTTTAATAAAAATGTGGAAAATGCCACCTACTTTCTTGCGTTTCATAGGGGAAGAAAAAGAATGTAAGTGAAAATATGTGGAGAGCCCGTGCCTCTCGTGCCTCTCAC